CTATTTGGAAGAAGAGTCGCAATATCAAAAGCTCCCAAGATCATTGGGATTGAATCAATTAGATCGGATCGAGAATATGATTGTTTAGCAAAATGGAATTTGCTTAATTGAGAAAGCGATCTAATAACTACAAAGACTATGATTAAACGATGACAAAACATGTTGGGCTCAAAAGGGAAAGATTTTAGTCCAAGTTATGAAATTAAGAATGTTTTCTTTAGGGTTAAAAATTATGATGAGTCTTGAGTAGATTTATTGGTTAGCCTCGGTATAAATATCCAGCCCGGCTATTGTAAAGAACAATCAATCCAATACACAAGTTATTTACTTTTTACACTCCACCCTTAGAGTTGAGTAGAGTAGATCTCGGTGAGTGGGGATCGATATCTGGTAGATCGATTCTCGATAAGGCATGCTTGTTTAAGTACCATCATGGCTTATGCCTCTGTTAAATCGGCCGCATTGATCCGATATCGACCTCTCTTTGCGACTCTAGTATGAGTTAGTTATCGATTCTTGTCTAAATAAAGATATGGTTACATCGATGATCTTACCCCCACCGCATGAACTAGATCAAGGTCGCATGATTATCGGCTCTACCTTAGGATGGCCCTTTGGTATATTCATGAGTTAGGGTCGATATTGCTTATTGCTTTCATTATTTATCTATTTACTGCAACAATCTCGCTTGATTGGGATTGATCTAGATTGGCCTTATATCTTGTTTAGCCCATCGTTTGCTAATTCGAACTGATCTAATCTACACCTTAAACGATGAGTTATGTTTTATCGGCTGTTTTATCAAACGGTTAAATGGTGTTGAATCGTTTCTTTATATAAAAGGAGGTTTGATTACTTGTAATCATTGACTCAGTACAAACCAATCATTGTTAATATTTTATTGCCATTGATTAATATCTGTTTAAATAATGACATTTATCCTGAATGATAACCGATTCTTCTTATACAACCCAATGAACTTTTATCGATTTATTCTCATGAATATGCTGGAATCGACTATTTAGTCGATCTCCTTTCATATCGGCTCTCATAGCCGCATATTCGGGACTGTCTGGTAACACCGGCAAGTTCCGTCCTTAATTATTGATGAACTTTCTCTCCTTGTCAATTACAGAGTCAAATTGACTGGCACGTCTCGGGAGGAGTGTGCAGGATCGACCATCCATGCGCTGAAGCTAGACGGATCTATAGCTCCATCGAGCAGACCCTTCTTGTTTGCTGCGTGTGTCCTCGGCACGGGACGAAAATTCTGTGTCGACAATAATATTCAGAGTAAAGTGGTTTAAAAATAGGATGGGAATCTCTGGCATTTGACAAAACATCATTTCATACCAAAATCTGGTGGAACAATGTAGTTGGTTGGAATAGGGTAACAAATAGCAAATACATACATTCAAGGTCACAAAAAAATTACATCAGAACAGTCCGAGTGTAGATCTTTGAAACAAAAAGTAAGTTGCTAGTGATTAAAATAAATCTAAGTATACAATTTATCCTGTTGAGAAATTGAATTGACAAAAATTGCATTCGAACTAATGCGCACAAACAACAGAAATTGTTATGAGCGCGCTGTCCATACGCTGACCATAAATCACAAGCAGGTAGAATTCATAGATGTGACTACACAAAAAGGAAGTTGATTTGATGCTACAATCTCTAACTAAATAAAAATATGAATCAACAGCGTGTCCAAACAAGCCAAGCAAATAAAATAAAAGGGAAGACAACTTGGAGGACTAGAACAAATACAAGATCCAAGACAAGTAAAGAACTAGAACACCCAGGCAAATTCGGTAGTACAGGGCATGTACTGCTCCATATTGTCCAGGGAGAGAAAGTTGGACCAAACAGCACCATAGGCCAACCATGCCAAACAGGCAATCATGCTTCCCCAACAAAAATAAAAACATCACTACTTAACCTAACTAGCGGTCCCATTGCTGAGCTTCGAACGATTTCAAAATAGCTGAAATCAAAATTATTTCATTTAAATAACATTGTTGCACCTCGTCAAGCAGGAACACAGTAGTTCCATGGTCTATAATCTAAAAAACTAAGTTTGGGAATGAACTAATCCATCTCAAAATCAAAATATATAACGGATGATTATGACACCGATGTGTTGTTACCCTGAATATCTTCAATCGTCAGACTTTGGAGAAGGAGCTTCTTCTAGCATACGTGTCCAAAGTCCAAACCAAGAATCTCATGGCTCAGGTCTCATCACCTTGTTGCCTATATATTGCGCAAGCTGCGCGCAAGAGCTGTGCACTCAGAGCTTGTAAGTAAGTCTTGCGAGATCCTCTGCCGTTAGAGTTGTACAAGAGACGAGATACTCTTGGCATTTTGGCCAAAACTGTCATAGTGGAGACGTCGGGAAGCGGCCTAGGAGAGGCTTGGTAGACCAGTGGGGAAGAAGGCCCATGTATCCATGGAGTTACCCGTCTGGGAGGTTAGCCCTCGTGAGGGCATCCTTACGAGAAAATCTAACTATGATTAGTGGAAAGAGTGAGCTTTTTGATACCTCACTAAAAATATTCAGGTTAGTTGATAGGATTAAAACTAAGACCCCGTTCGGCTGGCAGAATCTTAGCTGAAACTGGCTGGTTATGTGAGAGAGAGACACTGTTTGGCTGAATGGATGAATAGTGCCGCGTGAGAGAAACCAGCCGGGTCTTCAGTCCAGCGAACAACCCCTAAGCGTACAATTTTTTAGCGTTAAAGATAACAACACTTAAAAAACCTAGTGCAAATCTTTATGCATGTACATGAACGTCAAATCTCCTTGCTCTTGTGGACAAAAATTCTTCAGTGGAACAATAGTTTTGCAGGAGGAACAAAAGTTTATACAAATGGAGCCAATCATGTAAACTCGCGGAATAAAGGTTTGTACACCTGGCTTGATTGATAAGCATTGTTCAACCGGAACTATTATCTGTAGAACAAAATTTCTGCAGTGGACATAAATAACATAAATAAGTGCATAAACTCACGGAACAAATGCCTACTCAGTTGGAACAAAAACAATATCTACAAGCGCTTGTGCAGTTTTTTTTTTTTTTGAGAAACGGTTGTTTATTTTTCTGGGTTGCCAGTTGTTGCCGTACGATATTGGGCTTGTGTGCTGTTACCGGAAGAATGCCAGCCGAACAGAAGCAGGCCTAGCGGCCCCCGCGTGGGTCAACCTGCTTTGGTGGGCCGTAAAAGAACCCCTTCCGCAACGCCGGCCCAGTACGCGTGGAGCCCGTCGTGGCGTCCGTCCGTAGCCAGTGGATGCGTTGGATTTTGGGTTATTTGATCACGCCATTATAATTCTTCAACTTTAGAGATCCGCCATTACAATTACAATTTTTCTTCTATCTGATACTTGCCATTTTCTACGTCTTCCGGATGTCTGGGCCCACTGTCAGGCCATATACGTGTACACATCTTCCGTATGGACCAAAACACCCCCTGTTGCTTCCCTCCCTCCACTCACTGACCACACGTTAGATTCTCCTTCAACCTCCAGCCATCCTAGAAGGACAGCGTCTGGCGAGATGGGAGGGGTGGGCGGACACTTCGAGCCCGACCTCCCGCGTGGGAGCTCCGCCCAGTCATGGCAAGACGCTGAGCTCCGGCAGCCTCTCTCGACGCGCTGCTGACCATGGGCGCAGACTCCCTTCTCGCTAACCCGCCGCCCGCTATAGCCGCTCGCTGCTTGCCGTGCTTGCGTGAGCGTGCCCTACTACTCCGGCGAAAGGCTATGGCTGGTTGCCTGCCATGCTCCGCGTGAGCGCTTGCGCGGCGGCGAAGAAGAAGAAGCCATGCCATTGCGCTACGGCAAATCCAAACCCATCCGTCGCGCCCTCCGTTCACGCCTGCCCTCGACAAGCCCAACTCAGCCGCCGCCTCGAGGCACGGCCGGAACAGGGCGAGCGCGGCCGTCGCCACCTCCCCCGCGTGCTATGCTAGGAACACGGCGAACGCGGACAACACCACCATCATGCCGAGCAGCATGAGCCCCACGAACAGCTTGAGCAGCATCTCTACGCCACCATGGTCGCGCGCAGGCGAGCGACCACCGCCGCCGCCGCCGCCACGCGGGCGCGCGAGCGTGCAGCCGCCGCCGCCCCTCCGGCCCTCCCCCTCGTTGGACGGTGGAGGAAGAGGAGACTCAAGGAGGAAGACGGCTACAAGTTGAAGGAGAATCTGACGTGTGGGTCCCACACGTCAGTGAGTGGAGGGAGAGAAGCAACAGGGGTGTTTTGGCCTAGATATCCGAAAAACGTAGAAAATGGTAAATATCAGGTAGAAGAAAAATTATAATGGTAAATTTTAGAATAGATGAATTATAATAGCAGAGTTTGAAGAATTACAACGGCCTGGATATAACCCTTGGATTTTTCGTCGCTGGGCGCAGTCCGGCAAGCGACTATCAATCAGTCAGCCGGGTGGAGACGGCACACCGGACGCCTCCTTTGTCACTCGTCGTCGTGTTGACCGTCTCGCCAAAGGGGCGCGTGCAGGGCACTGGGCATGACGAGCCCCAGCCTCCTTCGCTGAAGCTTCCTCGATTCGCCACGACGTCACCGGTGATGCATTCCGGCCCCGCCATGGCCCACTGACTTTGCGAATTCTCTTGTCGCTCCTGGGTTCCTTCAGAGTCACAGGTACCCGTACCAACTCTCTGACTCTGGCGGTCAAATCGATCTGCTCAGGCCGGCCGAGGAGGTCTCGGTTGGTAGCTGCGGGTGGACTGCTAGCGGTACTGATGCGAGCGGGGATTGGGATTCAGATTGGTGCTTGTGGGGGTGAGCGATCGGCTGCTTGCTTGCTCGTGTCTGAATCGATGGATCGAGAAATTGCGCTGCCCGTGTTTGCGGCGGTGGCCATGAGGATGCACGCGATGTGTTTGTGGAATTGCTGCAGCCTGCGCTGAGTCTTCCTGCAAGGGAGCGCTGCTTTTGCGGCCGTGATCTGAAGCGGGTTCTCGAAGCATGGACGTGGTGCAGGTGCTCGCCTCGGCGACACAGCTGGTCTCGGCGATGGTGTCCGCGGTCGGGGCACTGGAGCAGGCGGCGTCCGACCTCGCGGAGGCTCCGAGGAGGCTGCAGGTGCTGGAGGACTTCGTGTCCGACCTCGACGCGCTGACGGAGCAGTCGAGGCAGCGGCACGCGCACAAGCTGCACGGCCCGCAGCTGGACCGCCAGTTCCAGAGCCTGGGCAGGCTCATGGACCAGCTGCGCGGGAACGTCGCCAAGGCCAGGAAGGTCCTGAGCGGCGGCAAGGGCAAAGGGAAGGGGTTCGCCAGGCTGGTGCGGAGCTCCGTGACGGGTGACCCGCTCATGAGGTACGTCAGGCTGATCAGGGACGACCTCAACCAGTGGCTGGAGCTGCAGGAGCTGACCCAGAGCGTCGGCAAGGTCATAGCGTCGACCGCCAGGAGCACGCCGGCGCTGGTGAGGGTTAAGTCGGAGCATGGATACCCGGTGTCGAAGAAATGCAGCTATGTCAGGGAGCTGTTGGAGAGGGATGGGGCTCATCGAGTCGTCCTCATAGTCGGTCTCTCTGGTATTGGGAAGTCATGCCTTGCACGGCAGATTGCTTCTGATCCGCCTTTTTGTTTTGTGAATGGTGCGATTGAGATTGGTTTTGGGCGGTGGTGCAGCAGGGCAGCGTGTAATGGGAGCAGAAGCGAATACCATAAGCGCCTTGCTAGGAAGATCTGCACGTTCCTTGTGCAGATCGGCTCCATGACTGTTAAGGAGGAGGTTGGAAAAGATCTTGATGATGTGTGTTGCTTGCTCCAGACAGCATTGGTCGGAAGGAGCATGCTGATCCTACTTGATGATGTTTGGGAGCAAGACATTGTTGATCGCTTCACGAGACTATATGATAATGATTGCCGGTATCTCGTGACAACAAGGGATGAAGCTATCTACGAGATAGCAGAAGCTGAAAAGGTAGAAATATCCAAAGATGACATCAAGGAGATCAGCAGGGAAATTCTTCTCTATCACAGCCTTCTCAGTGTTGGAGAGCTTCCGGTATGCTTTACTCTTAGCCTTGATGGCCCTTCATTAGTTTCAGCTGCATATCACATCTCTTAGCTTTCTTTGCTGATACTAATTTGCATATGTTCATCTGCTGCTTTAACGAAGGCATCCCTGCTGCGAAAATCTCGACTTGTACATATGTCTGCATTTCAAGATTAATCTTATCCTGTTAACAACATGTTTTCTTAAGTAACATAATGTTTAGCTTCACGAATATGCTCATTATTTTTTACATACATATATGTTTTCATTTATTTAGTAGTTATGCTAATACTTGCAATTTGCAAAGTAAGACATGTTAGAAAAAAGATGTCACACAAGTTAGAATCACGACAAATTCCAAACACCATGAATTTTGGATGTTTAACTTCTCTGCTTTACTTCACAGCCTGCTGCAGAAGTCTTACTGGATCGTTGTGGTCACCATCCCCTTACGGTTGCTGTCATGGGCAAGGCTCTCAGGAAGGAGACCAGAGTGGAAAAATGGGAGAAAGCCATATCGAACCTCTCAACATATGCCACTTGTGCACCTGGTCCAGTTTCATACGTCAATGAGAAAGACGTGGAGACTACGTTGACCATATTTGGATCTTTTGAGTTCAGCTTAGAAGCAATGCCAGAAAATTCAAGAAGTTTTTTCATGGCTCTTGCAGCTATCTCTTGGGAAGAACCTGTTCCAGAGGCTTGTCTGGAATCCATTTGGTCAGCGCTTGAGCAGGGCGGCCTGTTCTCTCTCGTGGTTTCAAAATTAGTAGAAGGATCACTCATTATCAAACTGGAGGACCAACCGTTGTATCATATGCATGACATGGTTTCACTTTACCTGGAGAACAAAACAAATGATGTTGTTCATGCTCTTTTATCTGAATCAATTTCTTATTATGCGGCATTAGTGTCTCCTTGGCTTTTTGTTTTTGGCAAAGAGTGTATGAAAAGGCCAGCCGAACAGAAGATGGGATCATTCTTTTCTCTGCTAGAATTCACGGAGATCGAGATTTTATTGGTAAACACAACTCAAGCTCTCATGGCATGCAGATCCCTATCTGAATTTGAGGCAAGCAGACTTGGGTTCAGCAAAATACTTGGCCCTCGAATAGCAGAGATAATTGCAGTAGGGTCACCAGATCTTATTTTTGCAGTCACTACGGCAATTACAGTTATATTTTTCCAAGCAGACTACATAAATCTTGCTCAGTCTCTTGAAACAGCAGGTTCCATAGATAAATTAATTGATCTTCTTGGTGCCTGCGAAGATACTTCAACTCTAGCCAACTTGTCTTCTGTTCTGGCCAAGATATCTGAGCACGTTGATGCCACAATTGCTGATGAAATTTTGTCAAGAATTCCCATGGATCGAATCGCAGATCTCTTGTCTGTAGAAAATGAGCAGTGGCATGAAATTGTGTTTACAACACTTGCATCTCTGACAAAGGTTGGAAAATTGAAGGCTGTTGAGACCATGATTGAATCTGGAATTGACAAGAAACTTCTTGTGCTTCTGGGCAGTGGTTCTGAGATCTCACAGCACCACGCGATTATCACGCTAAAAACATTCTGTGAACTTGGTGCTCCACTCCAAGGGTGCATGGGGCCTGCAGTGCTGCTTCATTTGCCCTGGCATGCTCGGATCAGTTTGGAAAGATTTGTTTTATTTGACAAAAATGTATCTCAATCACCAAAGCCTCAACAATCATTTGAGGTGATTCTTCATAAGATCCTTCAAAGAGACAACAAAGATATCATTGAAGCCATCCAAGGTTTGTTATCTCTTGCTGAGAGGGCAAATGATACAAGGGTGCAAGATCTCCTTTTGGGAAGCAATCTGTTTGATAGGTTGGCTTTGCTGCTACAACGCAGAGAGGTCGAAAACAACCAAGTGAGGTCTCAGACCGCCTTTTTGGTGATGAAATTGGCCTGCACAGGAGGAGAGCCATACGTCCATAGGTTCCTGGAGCTTAATATTGTTCACGAGCTCATTGACATGCTGCAGTGCAACATCGACGAGCTCCAGGATTCAGCATACTACGCTCTCCATCAGATCGTCTTTGCAAAGGGTGGATCCCTTGTCTTGCAAAGATTTCTGCAACTAGGAACCATAGAAAAACTGGTGAACTTGCTGGACCGCAAGTCTTTGAAGACCAAGGATCTAGCCATGCAATTCCTGGTGGACATTGCGGAGGTTGGAACCAAGCCCTGCATCGAGAGAATGCTCGCTTCTCAAGTCGTCGAGAAGCTTGTGGCCCTTGAGAAAGCTGGCGATCCCTTTGGCGGTGCAGTGTCAAGGTACATCCAGGGACTCAACAGGTGCAAGAAGCTCCAGACTGCTGAGAGAGCCGTGATGAAGCAACATATTCTGAGGAAGGTGCGATCGGCAGTGAGAGGTCATAAGCTGGAGGCCAGCCTAGTTGCTTCTGTGGAGGCCTCCATCGCTGAAGGCTCCAAAGGAGCTAGTAGTAGTAGTAGGAAAAAGAAATAAGCATTTTGCTGCGCATTTCATCATCGCTGATGTGTTTCATATATGCTGGTAATTCTTCATGACCTTGTTGGCATCTGGCGTTGGTCTTTGTGAGATTTGGATTTTAGCACTGACAACTGAAGAAACCAGAGGTCATAAATGGAACCGAGTGGAACGTCTGCGCTCGCCCAAACATCCCTTCCTACCAACTCTGTATAAAAAATAATTAATCTTCGGCCGGTTTAGTGGTTTCCAGGCAAGCTCTTGCCCTGCTCTTTGCTTTCCTCGGACACCATCATTTGGCTGCTCCGATGTCTGCCACTCTGCCAACTTTCTCGAACATCTACCGCCCCTTTCTGCGCTATATATTGCCTTGTTTTGTTCGTCGGATTGGACGAGTTGGATCGATGATGGCTGGGCTGCAGAGATCGGCGCTGACCTTCAGGAGGTCGGGCTCGTCGGGGCTGGTCTGGGACGAGCGCTTCCTCACCGAGGCCGCCGCCGGACACCAGCAGCCGGAGCTGCGGCACTCGAGGAGCGTCGGCAGCGTCGCCATGCTGCGGCGCGGCGGCGAGGCGGATCGCGACGACAAGAAGAGGAAGCTGCTGGCGCTGGCCAAGCCGAATCACAAGGACCACCACCAGAAGCAGGAGGAGCTGCTGGTGCCTGGCACAGGCACGCCGTTCCGGACGAGGGACGTGGCCCCGGCCGCCGAGCCGCCGTCGCCGAGGGTGCCCGCCGGCTGCTGCGCGCCCTGCGCCATCTTCCGGGACGCCGGCGCCGGTGGCTCGTCGTCGTTGCCGCGGCGGGGCAAGAACAAGAAGCGGTAGGACGATCACCATGTCTTTTTTTTCTTTCTTTCATGATCATCATATCCTTGAGACGAAGTGTAACCGAGCGAGCGGTGATCGTGAGACCAAGTGGCTCGTGCGTACGTAGGATTTGAGGTCCATAAAATCTCTCTCTGTGATTCTGAATAAATTTGTATTACGTGGTGAATAATGTGTTCAACCAAGCCCCGATCGAGGGACGTACGGAACGTTGCTCTTCATCATGCGGTCATGCCTACATACTTTTGAACCATGCTTTAAGAAAACCGACTTCTCTCGTTGATTTGCTTGGAAGTTCAAGATTCGTGATCTCACATCCGGGACGCTTTAAGCGACAGGCAAACTGTTGTCCGGACCATTCGGCGTTCTCAATCTCACTCTCACTCTCGCTCTCTTCTTACCAACACCTAAAGTTCACATGGCGCGGAAGTCTGGTCACTCTCGCTCTCTTACCAACACCTAACGTTCACTAGCTTTTATCCAACAATAAACCTTTACGCCAACACTGTTAGATGTTGGAAGATTCAACGGCAGCCACGGCGCGGGATTATGTCCTTAACAACGTGCTGTTTCGTTTCGGAAAAAAAAAAATCGGTGATGACCATCCCTACCAGACGTGGTGAGGACTGTGCAGCTGATAGGTGGCCCATGGGGCATCTAATTTACCATCATATGTTTAAAATGATACTGTGGCACAATCCTCACCACGTGTCTTGGTAGGTATGGTCCCCACCGATTTTTTTTCATTTCGTTGGGTTGTCTTGGCTGTAAATAGTTCATGGTGGAAATAACCACGCTTACCGTTAGGGAACACATATATGGGGTTTTTATTTATCAAAAAGTATGGGCGTGTGTTTAGAACCTTCGTCAATACCATAACTGTGTAGCCTCGCCAAACGGAGATATAGATGAAAATTGCTCGTTTTGATCTCTTGCTAGATCATCTCGAGGCTTATGCAGACAAAGGTTCCTTGTCAACACATGAGAGCCAAAATGGCTTGCCCATCCTGGCAAGAATGCGCAAGGCAAGGTGAGGCAAGGTTGATAAAGAACCAGAAATGTCCTGGGTTTGACCAAAACTTTTGTATACAATTCAATAAAATTCATTTACTAGTTCGATAATAATTATAACATTTGCTCATAATTCGATATACAAAGTAATACCTTCGTCCCACAAAGAAACCCTTTAATAGCATTTAAAATTCGTTCCACAAAGTAAGACACTATATTTAACGTTGCTTACATTGTATGGCATTGTTTAGCACTTTTTATCCACCAGTACTATTAAGCGTATTATTTATATACTCTGCTTGATCACTAAGAGTCTAAGAGTCTAAGACCATTCTCAGTGGAGAGTTTTATAGCGTTGTTTTCAAAAACATAGAATGCAAAGAAACTAGCACTCTCAATGCATAGTTTCATTATTTTGTTTCATACGATATTTAATTATATGACTCAAATTGAGTTGGTAACCGAGCCAAGAGAATTTCATCCCCATGCATGAAACTCGTTCCTTCTCTCTATTCTTAAATTTTTTGTCACGTCATCAAAAATAATTACGTAACAGTCTTAAATATAGATGAAACTCCCACTGAAATTCGTCTAATATATAATACAGATCCTAGTGTCTTGCTTTTTATGACCGAGTAGACATGAGTGTGGTCTATATCATTAGCCTACGATACTCAATGTGAAAGCTTGATACTCCCTCTATTCCAATACGTTATCTAGTAAAAATTATAGATTAAAAAAATCAAAATAATTTATAATTTGGAACGGAGGAAGTACCAAACAATTCCATACTCAACGTGAGACAAACTCTAGTTCATAGATATGGCCAAAAATGATGAAAGAATTGAATCTCACTCGTTTGTTAACTAAATGTAGAGGCTTTTTTTTTTGTGACGCCGCCAAAGGAAGTCACTTTTGCATACGAAAAAGATACTAAGTAACAATTTTGTTAATTATACGTGAAGAGGCTTAAGACATATATACACGTTTGCGTACTGAGCATAATTAGCAGTTTATTTATTTTCATATATATACATTCGATTCCAAGGGAGGGTTCTAAATCTTCGATTCCGTGTGCTGTGATGCTGCCACTATAACTACAATGTTCCATGAGCGTGCGACAACTCCACGTCTCCACGCACGCTAGTGAGTACTGAGTACCCGTAGCAGTGAATCTTGCTGATGGCTGCACATCCCAGTCCCAGCGCTAGTTTGCTAATTTTGTCGCGGAGCCAAAAGCCCAAACCCCCTCTCATCGTCATCGGCGCAGCGCTGCACCTGCACGCGCGTCGACCGATCGAGCATCTGCGGGGATCTGCCTCCTCGGCTCCACCTCCACGACGCCGACGCACGTGATGGCCGGTCGGCAAAGTGCGCAGCAGCAGTGGCAGCGCACGGCACGCGCCGCCGCATTGCCGTCCACCTCACGCGCCCGCCCGCCGTGTGGGTTTTTCGCGTGGCCGACGACGGGCCAGCGCGCTCGGCCTCAGGCGCACGAGCACGGAGCGCCGGGGAGCCTCACGCACGCGAAAGCGCCGCGCGGCCGCCGGTCCACAGAAACGCGCGCTCGGCGCCGCCCGCCGCGGAGCAGCGTCACCGACGCGCGGGCCCGGGCTGGCGAGGTGGCCCGCGCGTCGGTGAGCCGGGTGGGGGCGCGCCCACGTAGCGGGGCTGCGCGCCTTGAGTTGGAACCGGCGAACGCGTGGTCTCGGCGGCGGCCACGCGGGTGGTGTCCCCGCCGTGCGATTTGTGAAGGGTGGACGGCTGGGTCGCGGTCGCTAAAACCCCCAAACCCTGTCGGGCAATTAATGCTGTCGCTGGTGCAGGTTTTGCAGGAAGGACCCTTCCGTTTGGAAACCTGTGGTAAAGGCTCCTACGGTTTGTGTGCTTCCTGTGCACGTGGACCTGGGTGTAAAAGTTGGAGGGTGCAGATGGAACTCTCGGGGCTGTTGAGGAGCTGAGTCGTAGAAACTTGTGTGGCGTCAAAAAGTAGTCTTGGTCCATACAAGCAAGCGACGAGGAGGGACAGACAGGAAGGATCGCAGGGGAGGAGATAGGGAAGGAGAAGCGGAGTGCGCGCGGCCAACTCTGCAGTGCCTGAGGCGGAGGTAGAGAGCGAGAGCGAGCAAGAATGCAGGAGCAGGCGGCGAGTTCGCGGCCTTCCAGCAGCGAGAGGTCGTCCAGCTCCACGCACCACATGGACATGGAGGTCAAGGAAGGCAAGCTTGCTATATACCTCTGCCACCCCTTGCCGTCGAACTATCCTCTGCATCTTCTTCATTCGTGTTTGCTCTTTTGGTTTGTCTTTATCACACTACTCTTGAGTTCTTGGGTCTCTGCTCGGTGCTCGTGCGGCACGAATCTTTTCATTTTTAGAACCTTGTTGACTCCAACGCCGCTTCCGATGGATTTTCGTTTCGTTTTCGCGTGCAACTGCAAACCATGTCGAGCAAGTCGACTCGCGAGCTCTCGCTCCAAGATCTTGACTCGTTTGCTGAACTTTACTGAGCCATGTGTGGTGTGATTGAGTTGCAGGGATGGAGAGCGACGAGGAGATAAGGAGAGTGCCGGAGCTGGGCCTGGAGCTGCCGGGCGCTTCCACGTCGGGCAGGGAGGTTGGCCCGGGCGCCGCCGGCGCAGACCGCGCCCTGGCCCAGTCGTCCACGGCGCAGGCCAGCGCGCGCCGCCGCGTCCGCAGCCCCGCCGACAAGGAGCACAGGCGCCTCAAAAGGTGAGTGAGATTTCCTGTAATCCTAGCATATATATACTAGCATCAGCACTGGCCCCGCTTCTCTTATAATACATCGTTTTTTTACTGGAACGATGTTTCTCTCCAGCAGCCGGATCAATATTTTAACTTATTTTTTCAGTAAAGCAAACAGTGTTTCGTTCGTTTTTTTCTTTGCTGCTAGAGAAAGAGTACGGAATTCAGTTTGTTTGGATGAAGGGATAGATGAGTGACCGCGTCATGGGCTAGCTCATTTGTTGACAAACTAAAATATCTTTGATAGCCATGCAAGTTTGGATTTAGTGTTAGTAGTGGACCATATTGTATCCACATCAGAATTAGGGCCCCTTTGTGGGGTTTAGATAAGAAACGAGTGCCTGTGGAGATAGGTGGTTGGAAGACTATGTTTTTTCAGAAACAGGAGTAATGTAATTGCCGGTATTGTTAGTTGC